TGAGTCTAAATCCTCTTGCAAGTGCAAACAGTCGTGTATAGAACGAATCGGCTTAAAGATTTTAATGTCATCGGCAAATAATAAAAAATTGGAAAACTTAAAAACGTGGTTTATATCGTTTATGAACGCTAGGAATAATAAAGATGCTAAATGGGCACCCTGTGGCACTCCGGAAGTCACACATATCGTTTTTGATTCAAAGTTATTATACTTGACAATTTGTGTACGTCCACTCAAATAACTATGAAGCCAAGATAGTAGCGGCTCACCAACTCCGATACGATTTAACTTGGAGATCAGTATTTGGTCGAAGGCTTTAGGTGAAGTCGCCATATATTGAGTCCAGTTGAATATCTCCTTCAAGGCAGCAAGCAATATGTTGTTGATACGCTAATAAATTAGAGGTGGTCGAACGATTTGGAAGGAAACCATGCTGTTCATCAATTATTTCCGTCTGAAATATGGGAAACAGTTGGTCTGTTACTAGCTCATCAAAAACTTTTGAGATGGTAGACATAACAGCTATGGGTCGATAATTCTTGATATCAGCCTTAGACTTTGATTTATAAACAGGTCTGACATAGTTTAATTTCCAAAATTTTGGAAATACGCCTTCATTAATTGATTTTGTAAAAATAATGTGTAAAGGATGACTTAGAACATAGCAGCACCGTTTTAGCAGGAATGCAGGAAGTCCATCTGGACCACAGTTTAAATTGTCCTTTAATTTACTTAATTTAGTCAAAACATTAACTAATGTAATATTAACACTCCTCACATTAACAGAACTATTGCTGTACGGAGCTTGAAAATCGACCATAGGATCAATAATATCGCAACTAGGTAGATACGCAGTGCCGAAGTTGTCTGCGAAAAGGTTAACGATGTCATACCATTTTCAGCATTGGTTGAACCTAAGTGCGTATTAGACGGCAGCTCATTTTCATTCTTCTGTTTTCTAACAAAGTTCCAAAATAACTTAGGATTGGATTTGATTTTGACTTCTATATGATTTATATGATTTCTGTAATCCCTATCAGACAGCTGTTTACAACGTCTTCTTAAATTAGAAAATGTATTATACAACTGCACCGAATTTAAAAGTTTATATTTTGAATGCGCTAATTTTTTTTGAAATAAATGTTCTTTTAATTCCTTAGAATACCAGACGGGATAGCGGTAGTTAGAGTTAGTGATTGTCTTTATAGGAATAAACAGATTAACACCATTATAAAAAAGTTCGTAAAACAAGGTTACTGCATCATCTAAGCCCAGAGACCACAATACATTCCAATCAAAGGAAGCTAAGTAGTAGGTTAATGATGTAGGTTAATAATGTCATCCAAATAGAAAAAAAAAAAAAATCCATTGTGGCCCGCAAATTTTGTCTACTAGGTATTGAAATGTACTAGGAGCTCCATTAACGCCATACGGTACACGAGTCTAGTCGAACAAACCCCTCTCCGGAATGGAGAGAGCTGTATACTGACGACTATTTGGTGATAACTTGCCAAATTTTCTTATCTTTAACTTTTTGATCAGCTCTTAATTGAGAAGGAGATAGTATCTGACCACGTACTTCTCCTACTTTCCGTTTCCCGATTTGGTACAATTGGAATATGTCTTTTCGGTGTGCCGTGGTTTTTAGCACCTATAAGCCTATAACTACTAAGCTAGGTACTTCTGGTAGGGACCTAAGAAATTACAACGCCAAAAGACCTCTTAAACTCCCACTAGACCTAGGGCACCGTTCAGTGTCTGCACCCCTATAGCTAACCCCCAATCCACGCCCATGGTTAAACGATGTATCTCTCGAGGCTCTACTTTTTAGCGTATTTCCAAAAAATATTAAAAAAAATGCTCTATTGTGGCCACTTTGTCCGTCCGTTCGGTCGCTACTACATCGTTTTACTTTTTTCGCTATTTGGTTCGTTATGGTGTTGAGGCTTGCACCGAGGAAGGAATTTTTTTCTGCGTTTCTTACTAAAAAAGTTATAGTAAAAAATCAATTTTTTTATGTACCATAATTTTACACTTTTGTCGCTTATTAACGATCCCGGAGATATAAATTGGTACGCATGTTCTCACGGATATAAGAAAGGTCGCTATTTGCAGCTACGTAGACTAACGGGTCAAAAAGTTACAACCCAAAAACTGACCAACTCTCCAAAAAATGGTGTTCTTGTATCATTTTTGTTCTAAAGAACATATGAATGTCAGGGTTTTCTTTGTTAGTACATATTCCTTAAACCTCAAGCAACTATGCAGACGAATTTAAAAAAATTCCGAATGCGCAACCCAGCTTTGGAATTTGCGCAATCCAATTTTTTTATTTGTTAAGACACTTAAATAAAATTTTGTATATACGGACCTCGAATAAAAGCAAAACTAATACCAAGTTAAAAAATTTGTTCTACAAGCTATGCTGATCTAAGGGAACCGAATCAGCCCCTTAAGGAGGTGTATTGTCAAATTAATGGGTGCATGAAGATCGATGATCGTTCAGTATTCAGTTGTATCAGATTTTTGTGCTTTTAAATTCTATACGCTAAGATGATTCTTATAAAATCAAGTTGAAATGAATGTCAAAGAATAGATTGTGCATGCGCAGTGCTAAACTTTCTTCTGGACGAATTTGGCTGAAGTAACTAACTTTTTCGAACAAAGACTGTTAATGTGGAAATGCGCTTTTTGTAAATCGTTTACGATTACTTCTTGAACTTGTTTTTAATAGTTTGCTTGTGTTTAATATATTTATTTTATAGCATAATGTTAAACATGACATTTTAATAGGTTTGAATGAGTAGGCTAAGCCGTTCTTTAACCGTAAGGATAGATAAAGTGATCTCTTTAACCGTAAGGGTAGATAAAGTGAAACAGATGAGTATGCATTCTAATGACATCTGTCATTCTTATTTCAACTGCACGATATAAAATGACGTCCGGAACATATTCTGTTTCTATAGCAACGATCGCGACGGCAGAACCTAAGCTTGCTATTTTTGACGTCTCTAAATTAAATTGAGAATTGTCAGAAGCTTTATAATGATTTATATGGCTTCTGCTATAAAATAAAGTTTTGTATAATACACGACGATAAAAGGAAACTAACCATTTCGTGAAAGTTAAGTTAAGTCTTTTACTCAATGAATATATCCCTTTATCGTCTTGTATAATAAATATCTATTAATTGCTATGAGAAACATGTTTAATGTTCATTATGCCACAAAGAAATCTGCAAAGGAAAGGATTTCAGACGCAAAGGTGCTGGGAAAGTTCACAGTACGTAAATAAGTTTTATTATTATTATTACGATTAACTGTAATTTGACTATTGAAATTGTGTTTATTAGAATGTGATTTTTGTAAACCGCTGCATATGATTCTGTATTACCATTGAGTACTAAATTTTTATTCAATGGTATTTATTACTTAGGTGTCTAATGTATTCATCGTGCAGGCACAGCAATCGTTACTTTACAACTATAAAATTAATACGGAAGGGCGGCGGGTATCAAAGCGTACACAGCATGTGAAATTCTTATTTGCCGATTCTTTGCTTACTATCACATCTTCCCTAATTCGCGTTTTTTCAAAGGAACATGCGGTTCTAAGGATTTAAATTAAAATTCAAGCACATCCTGCATGATGCCACAAATGCATCCACGCAAATTGGCAGGAAATTACTTTTGTGGGTGAAATAACTTTCTGTATTAACTCGATGAGGATTTCATTTTACCGAAAAATTACACATCAAATGAGATTTAATCTACACATATTGAGACATCGGATATACCTTTAGTAGTTTGTACACCATGACCATAATTTCGTAAAAAAAGATGAGTGTAATTGTTGGCATCGGCCAAAAGGGGAGAAGAAGAAAAGGGTGTAGTGCAGTTACTGCAAAAAGTAAACTTTTCTCATGTTGATTTCACGAGAGAGTTGTCAGAAAATATAAAAGTGGTAACGTCAAAATTTTATTTGCAAACATCCTGTAGTATGTGTTGTAAAATTCCTCCGTTAGATGTCGCCTGCTGTCGTGTAAGGAATCCAATTATGATAGTTTTTATAATTAATAATTAATGATGAAAACTATTTTCGTTAAGTTCCGTGAGATGCCGCCACCTACCTTTCCGATTATATCAAATACCACTTCCCGTTAGTCCCTTCCCGATTACCATTTCCACATATTCCGCCAAACGTAACCAGCCGTTTAATACAAAAGCAAGTGTCCAGGCTGTGAGAGGCACTTATTGAGCTCACCTTCTTTTATAGCTCAAAACCTTTTACCAGAACAACCCTCCAGATCTCCTGCTCTTCCTGAAGCTTAGACCGGTGCTTTGTACCATAGGCCTAAATTTCGCCAACCCTGTTATACCTCACCTGCTCAAGAAGCTTAGGCCGGTGCTTTGCACCTACGGCCTGACTCCCGATAACTAACCTCCAGAAGCTCACGGCTGGTACTGCGTACCGGGTCAACTTCCGGACCTCCTGTTGTTCTAAACCTTGTCAAACTTGTGGTGTCTTAGGACGGTACTTTGTACCTATGTTCTGAGGACCGTCCTGCTTTATTACTAATCCAGATTCCTGTATACTTTTTTTTTTAGTTAATTAAAGAACCCGTTTCATTTTATTCAGTACAGTCATTTTGTTTTGTTTTGAAACCGTTGGTTTGCTACTATTCAACATTATGAATTATGTATCTGTTATGTTTTTGTTACGCTTATGTCCATTGTGAAAAAGCACTTACACTTAGGGCATAACAATTTTTTTTTCTTGTATGTTTACAAATACGTATTTTAATCAAATTAATAACAGTTTTTATGCAGGTAATGTTAATTTATTACAATTAAGTCATGATCGTCTATAGAAAAAATATATATGCGGCGACCATTTTTTGGCAGATACTTTATTGAATAAGCGATTAAAATAAGATAAGTACCAAACTTATAGTAATTATACGCACAAAATATTCCTATAGTAAAAAATTTAAATTTCAAGCTAAAAGTCAATCACCTGTATCTTTACCAAGTCAACCAAGAACGTCCCCGGTAGAAAGTCATTCAAGCCCCACACAGAAAATTGTTCACAGCCCTAGCGGAAGATTTTTAGAGGAAATCGGTAAGAAGTTGTCTATCGTGAGACAAATCACACTTTTATTCTATGATCGTGACATATTATTCTTTTTAGACAATTTTTCAACTCCTACCAAAGAAAAAACTGATAACGTTTATCACAGTCCTAGTGGAATTCAAATGCCTTTTTCTTTGGCATCGACCAAGAGAAGGTTGGTAATGGATGATGATAAATCTAAGGAAAAGCGTTTACAAATGCGTGTAAATTCTACTTGTGACCAACTTCTTCAGAAACGAAAACAATTAAAAAGTAAATCAACATATATTTTACAGTTTAAAAAAAACTGTAAACGATAACCCCTGGTGTTACACTTCCATAAAATGCCTCTTCTTTTGCAAAAACTTTTACAAACATGCAGGTACTGGGATCGAAAAAGAGAACTTATACAAGTAGCGAGCAAAAAGTTGCTTTACTGCCTTTAGTGCCTCTTCCTTCTTGAAGAAAGTAGAGACAAAAGTGGAATCAATGACTAAGATAGATAAACAAGTAGTTCTATGATTCGGCGAGATGGCCCTCAAGTCCAAATTTGAGTACAACAAAAGGAACGACTTAATTGAGGGCTTTCAAGATTTAGGTCGTAAACCTGTTCCCGTCAAACAGGTGCTAGTTCTATTGGTCAGAGGTCTGAACTGAATATATCAGTGGAAACTACCATTTGCTTATTTTGTAACATGTAACCGGTGCCAGTAGTCAAAATTTAGAAAAAATTATCACAAAAGTTTAAACCTTCTTGAACAGATAGGGTTACATCCTAAAGCCATTGTTTGTGATATAATAATAATAATACCGTTTATTCCATGAGACTTGTATACAAGCATTGGAACGTCAAAATTACAAATTACATATTATATAATTAAGTATAAATTATAAATAAGTAAAAATACGCTACCTACACGTTATACTCGTATTACATACATGCAACAATTTTTCTGTTCAAGTATTCGTCTAACCTATAAATGCACATTTTTACCACCAACATGTTTTTTATAGTTTGTTTAAACCTAGATGGATTATGGATACATTTTACGTTTTCCGGTAGTTTATTCATCTTCTAGCAACAGAAAATTTTTCCAACTGTTAGGAATTTCCACGGAGAAGCCTTATTTTGTATATAATCAAAAAAAGTACCTATTATGGAATATTCGATGTCCCTCATTTAATGAAAAGCTTAAGAAATAATTTATTGAATGGGATTTATGTATTAGACGGAGAAGGCATTTCTTTTGATGACATCAAAAAAAGCCATGAAATTGACAAAACCAGTAATACCGGTAGGGCTCTGACTAATGTTGGAATTCTGTGTAAAATATCCGAGATCGTAAGCGGGTTTACGGGCACTCGTAAGATCGGAACTAAAAAAGGCAATTCTGTGTCCGCCCGGATCTTACAAATTCTCGGAAGTCCCTACGGCTTGTCGTAAATTCTTACGGTGACAGATTATCTGACCTAAACTTATCCGAGCGCATCAAAATGAATAATATGCGCTTCTATTTACATATTGGTGCTCTTCTCGAAGAAGATAATGATCGGTAAGAATCAATATTTAAAAGCATAACGCAATTTTCATAAACAAACTTCATATAACATTAAAATTTGCGTATAATTATTTTTAAGTAATTTCATGAGAATAACGAAGAGACAGTTAAGGGACTCGCTTAATGTTTTTGAAACAAGCGAGAAAGACTTTAAACAAATGTTTCGTTTGGACAAAGTAAGTGTAATGGGTTTGATCGAGGAAATAGGCCCCCATTACCAAAACACAGGAAGTATTCCGCTTCATTTAAAGGTAATACCTAGGTATATTTTTATACATATCATTTTCAATACCTATGCTGTAATAACTACAAATTGGTACCTACAGGTACAGATACATAAGAAGGCGAAAGATGACGCATCCTTACTATTCATATTCTATTAATTTGTGCGCCACTGAGTGGGTTCTGCAGTCTGCGTATAGCCATTGTTTAAAAAATGGTATAGCCCGCTGTCGCCTTCTTATGTGCCGGTGCCAGTGCAATAATTACCCAAATTCGACAGGTTCTAACAACACTAAACTTTGTTGCCACTGGTTCATTTCAAAATCCTGTAGGAAGTAGCTGTTGGATTTCTTTGAGTCAGCCATCAGTTTCAAGAATAATACACGAAATAACATCTTTAATATCACAACATTTGTTGCCAGAATGGGTTCAATTTCCGACTGACTTCGAAACAAAAAATAATATTAAACAAGGGTAAAACATTAAGCACATAAGTATTTTAGATAAAACCTTCAACTTTATTCAGATTTTACAACAAGTGGAATGTACGTGGTGTTCTTGGAGTTGTAGATGGAACTCATGTTGAAATTCTTGCTCCACCTACGAATGACGTTCACCATCCCCCTTTTGTTTATATAAACAGAAAAGGAAAACACTCAATAAATGTTATGCTCGTATGTTAAAGGATAAGACGTATAGAAAATGAATATTAATTATTTATTTTGTAAAATTAGATTTCGGATTCTAACACAAAAATTATTGCTTGCAATGCCAGATATCCTGGGTCCGTCCATGATTCTGCAATATGGCAAATGAGTAATATTAAAACTTATTTAAAGCGGGAGTATGATAATGGAGATAAGTCCACGCATTTACTTGGTATTTAAACATATTTAACAATGTTATAATAGAAAAAAAACAATTTTTTTTACCAAATTTACAGGTGATAGCGGATACCCCCTTGAACCATGGCTATTTACTCCCTTTTCGAATTTTGAGCAAGGAAGCCCAGAAGAACGTTTTAATAACCAATTCAAGACGGCTCGAAATGTTATTGAAAGAACCAACGGCATATTAAAAGGACGTTTTAGATGTTTGTCAAGGCACAGAGTTCTTTTATACCATCCGAGTAGAGCAGCTAACATCATTTATTCTTGCTGTGTTCTTCACAATATTGCTCTCCGGGCAAGGATTCCTCTTCCGGAGGAAGAAATAGAATATAGAGACGAGATTGGCATAGGTAAACGTTTTCATGTACATCATTACCTCAAATAAAATGTACAATGTTTTTAGAAGGCAATTTGGAGTACAATGATGTTCTGCAAGAAGGGAGGGCTACAAGAGCTAGATATATAAGAAATAATTTATTATTATAAAATACAAAAAAAAAACTCCAAGACATTTATGTTAAAAAAAAGACTATTAATCAAAATCAAATTTAAAGTTTTGGTTTTCAAATTTATATTTTGCCACTTCAAATTTAAGTCGAAGAAGCTCGTTTTTGTTTTTTTCCTTTTTACACTTTATGTACTCTTCGGAAAATTGTTTTACAATGGAACCTAATTCTTCAATATTTTTTTCGGATTTGTTCATTGTATTCAATAAGCTTTCTGTCACAATCGACAATGGCTTTTGCCGAGGTAGAGTTTTTGTCCCAGGTTTTTGCGGTGGAACGGGTGTAACAGCCGGTTCAATTTCAGGTGGTACTATTACTGGTGTATCATCTTCAACCGGCATTGGTTCAGTAATTTCCTCCTCAAGAGGTATTATCATGGTATCTGAATCTAATAAAATTCCATCGAAGTTTGTAACACCCAACGCACCGGTTACGGTCACTTTTCCCCATACACAGAGTGCCCGTTCTTCCATGTCTGTTAGTGTTATACTGCTTTGAGGACCTGATCCAGTCTTTAAACGGTGCTCATTTAATTTCCTATATTTGTTTTTCACAAATTACTTCCAATCTGTAAAACGCTAAAAAAGATGGTTATTTAAAAAAAGCGATGAAGAGATTTAAAATAATGCTACAAAACTTGTGCTGAAGTTTGCTGTATAAATCATATCGTTTTTACCTTTTTCCAATCAGCTACAGTCAGCTGAGGCCCATCTGGATCAGAATTTAACTTTTCTGACATTTCACCCCATTTATTTTCGATGTAATTTACATCTAGCGATGGGTTGATTGTATTGGATCGCATATGGTAGTCATTTTCTATGTAATATAAGTAAATATTATATTGATTAGTTGTTGTGTTCTTGGTTCTCTTTCTCTTTTTGTTTTCTAAGCTAAAAAAATGTAAATTGTCATTTTTAGGTTAGGATATTAATTTTTTTTAAACAAAGAAATAACATTGTAAATGTACAATGTAATCTTCAATAATAAAATCTTACCTCATAATGCTACTCTATATTCAATTTTACTTCAGTAAACTGTCCAAACGGCAAGGAAACCAAGGGATAAATGGTGTACACTACCGGCTTGTCAATGAAAACAATAGAAGTGAAGTTGGTTGCGATCGGAACGGCTCGGTAACGGCGACTCGTAACGCTTTTCATTACGAGTCGGCGCACAGAATTGCAAATTTTAAGGTTTTGTAAAATTTCGCTTACGATCAACTTATAAGCTACGGGCGTACGGTTTTACGGTTTAACGATTGCATATGTACAGAATTCCAGCATT